TCACTTTGCTTAGACAATTTCTATTACATATCAAATAGTTGTAGCGTGAAGTTCGTGAGTATCTTTCAAATGTCAAAATTCAAAGTGATTGTAATAGATTTAAAATTAGGTAATAATAATTATTATTAGATAATAATAAATTAGATGATTAGGTTACAGACCTCTAATGTGACAGAGTAGTTGGTATGTCGGTTTCAAAGTGCAGCTATGTCTGAGGTCCCGCTTTCGGTTCCTGGTTGGGTCAATGGAGAATATAAACTTTTCTATACTGTCGCGGGTCTGAGTGTTGTGGTATACACAGCTTCACGCCAGGCTACTACAATATGTGAAATTTCCTCAATTGATATTGATCTCTACCTATAACGTATTAAGGTTTAAAATTAAGTGGAGAAATTTGACAGTTTTGTATAGTCTTATGTGATATTCGGTCAGTTGTACAAACGTCCTTTAAGGTTTAATTACGCCTTTAAGCTCTAATGAATGTCAAAACTGTATGGGTAATGTCACTTTAAACTAATGAAAATTTTAACGGACGTCTGTGCAACTAGCTGATTGTCTAATTTATTTATTTATATATAAAATCTTGATCATTATTATTTTACAATGAAATGACTTCACAGATTCATTATAAATAATTAAAAGGTCAATGTTGCTACTGAAAAGCCTCCAGCTTTCGCTTTTGAAACGTCAAGTGGTTTAAATCCCCAGCATTTATTACAGTAATTACTTGCCATCTGGATTCATTTCGGAAAATGCATTGCTATCGTCAGAATTGGTCGGCGCCGAGGGTTTTTGGACCCCCGCCAGCACTTCCTACGTGAGACATTTTGCCCATTTATTTTTTTAGCCAGAGTGTATTTTTGAGAGTATTTTAGTAGTATTAAATTAATAAATAGTGAGTAAATAAATTTTATATAGGCCGAGCTACTTTGTTCGTCTATGTAAAAGGCACAAGCTAAGGTACAATTACATATACGATATGGAGTTTTGCTAAAAAAGAAGTTTGGGAATTTCGACCTTATGAGACCCCATGAATAAGGTTTTAAATATCTTTTAAGTACTATATAAGTTTTAAAGGTTTTCATGTAAAATATTTGTCAGTAATTACCATTACCACATCAGATTTCAAAATCATCAATAATGATTAAAATTGAATATATTCCATCTAATATCAATAGAGTGATTAATACATTTTTGCTTTCATCACTTTTGTTTTTGTGTACCGAAGTCTAAATATCACCAATAAGGTTATCAAAATTAGGAAATACATGTGCAGTATCGCCTTAATCTAAACAACTTTGAGAAGACTCTATTTAGCCCGGGTCCCAAGTAACTAAGCTGATTGGTATCCCCAACTTCGTTGGAGCCGAGCCAGAGCCCGGATTAACTTCTGAAGAATCCCTTCTCTTGTAGCTAGTTGTTAGGCAGGTTAAAAGTTTATACGCAAATCGGATCACTGTTACGTATGTTCATTAAACATGTAACCATGTAACTTGGTTATGTTTATAATATCAATGTAAATATTTGACAATGTACATTATTCGTTTAAGGTCATGTCTACGAAATGTTTACATATCACTATCAGTAATCACATCCAAAAACTTTGAGACAATGACTGTAAACGTATGAAACAACTAAAGTGACTCATAAATGCCTACGCAGATGCCTAAATTTCGAAGCGCGGCAAATCAAATATCACGCCGTGGTAAAATCCATTGATATCATTGCGCCTGAGCCCTACTGAGTGTGAGTGAGACGTGTACTTAATGCGTGGTAATTTATACCTTATGGTTCAATAACCGTAAAGTGTAAAATTAAAATAAACTTTTATCGTCGGTCATCGTCGGAATTAGCAGATCTGGTATGCCTGAACGAAGATTCATCGTGCCCCTTAATAGTTGGAACTTACTGTAAGAGTGGAAGGTAAAGATTAACGGAACATCGTTATTTGAGAGACGTAACGACGGTGTACCTAATCTCAAAATGAGAATATCGCAACATAGATTACTAGCGTATGATGACAACGTCTAAATGCTACAATTCAAATGTTACTTCTACAATTGAGACTTTAACTTATTTTGAGTTCTTTGTAGAATTATTTTGTGCTACCGGTGAGGCTGAGATGTTTTTCTATGGTATTTTGTCTATATTTTGCATAGTCTTCTTATGTATTAATTTACTGGCTTATTAACTAGAGCACAGAGAATAAATTTTTTAACGAACGTGATTTATTTTTTAGTTTTTTGACGTTGTTTTCATCTTTTGTAAAAGCGATGAAGTGCTTTCCGATAACTGTTTGTGTCGCTTGTAATTCTATCTCATCAATTACGCTGATCTCAAGCTCGTGGAAATTGCATTAGTGATATAATCGTAATGGGTTTATACTGAGGTATTTACGTGGCAATTCCTAATAGTAGACAGTATTTCTGATACAGTTTCTCTGTACTTTGAAATTTCTTCTCCATATTTTGGATAGTTTGAATGCGCATTAATCATTTAACGCTATTTTTATGTGGTTAGTTGTTTCACTTTAGCTGTGTTTATCCTATAGTCTGACCGTTAGTTCAAGTTCATTGTTCTAATATTTTGAAAAATCTTTAGTCGATTTGATAGTATATAATCCATCTCATTTTTATTTTTTTCCATCAGGCGATCTTCGTGTGCATCTTTAATTTGGCTTCTTATAAAAAAGCGAGTTACTTTATGTTCCAAAGCGAGGTTCTTTTTCTGTATTCGATTTGTATTGTCACGAAGTGTTCTTCTTCTGGAAAACCAATCTTCGCATTAAAGTCCCCCATCAGAATAATATTCTTTTGTATGGTATCTAACTTTGCCGACAGTTGAGTAGAATTCGTTTATCCCCAATTCATTTGCTGCTTGCATCAGTGCGTATACTTATATTATAGAAATTTGGAAGCCATGAATATAATATGGTTAGTACAATCAATAAAAGACTACATATTAACGAAATTATTGTCGTTGAAATAGTGACTTCGCTCTACATTGATTAAAGAAATTGTTTGCTACTCACCAACCCTGGATTCGGTACTAGGATAAACGGGTTTTATAAACAGTACAATAAATAAAAGTAAAGGGCAGTAAATAATATCAATATTATTTACTGCCCTTTACTTTTAAAAATTGTTTATGATTTTAGCTATTAAAAAAAGTTATGTAAAATTTTAGTAAAAAGCTGAGAAATTCATATTCAGAGTGTCAAAAGTCAAACTCCTTAGCCAGTAAAGTGTACTTGCTGGCAATTTTGATTTTTTTTTTCTTAACATAATTATTATCAAAGCATCATGTGAAAATAAACTCTTAATATAAAAGCAAATTAATGAATAATTTGCATTGCGATGCTACTATTCGTAACATTTTGTGACTTTTGGATAATTCTAAGTAAAGAACAAGTTGGTTGATTGGCACTAAAGCACCTTAGTTTCTGGACCTGATCCAGATCCTGAATTAGCTTTCGCTAAGTTGTATTTTAGTTTGAAATGGAATTAGGATAATTTTTAATTGTAATAAGATCTCATGGTTTTTCCGCGACTTTACCCGCGTAAATTATAACCAAATAGCATATGATGTGGCTTCCCATTGGTGTAAGAATTTTTATGATCGGATTAGTATATTTTTATTAAGACAAATAAACGAATTTAGAAACTTTACCTTTTTTAACAATAGCATAGATCATTTAAAAGTACAAAGTAATAAAATATGTTCGGTTTTATATTTTTTGGGGTTCTCTTTATACACAATAATATAAGACATATCAACATATCAATGTACACAACAACAATGTTAAGGAAATAGAGCAAAGTTTGAATATCGAACTGGAGAATCGAAAAGAGGAGTTCCCACCTGCCTTTTCTAGCGTAATGAAGCGCGGTTTATAGCTGAACGGCATTAAACCGTGGATCCGAAAGGCTTTACGATCTCCCCGGGGCTGCGCGGTTATTTGTGCACAGAGCGCAAAGCTTAGAAGGATTTGTATTGGATGATCGCCGGTGCGATTGATCTGGCGTGTTTTTGTTTATATAATTTTGTGATAATCGCACGGTATGTACGCCCGTGGAAAGTACTCGATAAACCATCTAAATATTCCTAAACAAAAACTTATCATGGACCCGTGTTAGGGTTATGACTAATATCCTTTGTTCTTCTAGCTCTACTCGGAAATAATAATTGTTGCATCTCAATGCTTAAACGAGAACTTAGAGAACGTTAGTGGAAATCTTCATTAGTTTTTGTAAGAAGTTATGTATTAAATTTTAATACTAGAAATAAAAATAAATTGACGTTGACTATCACGTTACTGCAAAAACTTAATGATTTCAATTAATTTGAACGTACTTTGAAAAATACTGCTTTTTTAACAGATAAGAATGCGTAAGCGAAAATAAATTCCTATTATTTGCTTTCTGGTAGTGTTTACTATACTATTAACGATAATCACATTTTTATGCTTATTATATTTATAATCTAAGAAAAATCTAATATTTTATGCTCGTTATCACGTAACCGCAAACAGCGCGTGACGTCACGCCCTTCTTACTTACATCAGAACTTAGAAAATTCAACCTTATGCATACGCATAACGATATTCGTTTCAGAGTGCCGTGACGTCATAGCGTCACCATGACGTTTTTGAAAGTGGCGTTTTTGTGGAAAATATTGACAATTACATTTATTTTTAGATTCTAACTTATATATTTTATAAACCCATGAAAGTGTTGCATGAATTACACCAATCATTCAGAAGTATCATTCACTCTTGTGTGATTCTATCAGTTGTGAAAGTTTCCATTTTGCTTCGAGGAACGAAAAATGATTAGACTATGAATTAGAAGACTGACCTGTAGAATACTGTCATCGATTTTCAGACTAGAAAACAAAAACTTTCTTGGGGCTGATAAAAAATCTTTTGGTGAAAATTTGTTTTCGTGCAACAATCTATTTAATTCTTCTAATGAGGGTATTTATGTAGCGTTTTTGTTGAGATGAAAAGGTCAAATCTTGGTGTGTGAGCTTGGCATGGATTAAAGCAATGTATAGGAAGACAACCAACAGAGCTTTCTTCTCTAGCGTAGCTTCGAGACAGTTATCTGACGTTTTACGTAACCGATTAAATAAATTTAACTTTTTTAAAGCCGCTGCATGACTGACATGTTGGTTAATTGATAATAATGTCATAAATATTGACAAAATAAAAAATGCACTGAACTATGCAAGTCCTTACTGCGATCTTCAAATCGAAGTCTGCACGGGTTGCTGTTATTAGAAGAACGTGAAATTTATTTTAGAAACATTTTAAAACCAATCGGAAAAATAAGTGGGGTATGCGTTGAAAAAAAACTTAATTTTTTTTGATACACCCTACTCTAGATACGTAAGTAAGTAATATGTAAGTCTAAAGGTCTAAATTTCTTATAAACTAATTATTTGAAGACGATTTCTTATAAACTAATTATTTAAAATAATTTTATTTCAATAAAAATATTATGGCTTCGACTTGCAAAATAAGTGAGTATTGATGTTATGTGATGATAATAATAACTAATTTTGGAATGTGCTAAGAATACCATTATAAATAATATGAGATGGAACAATATGTCTAAATTTGATTTCAGCTAGAGGATATCAACTGTTTAGGTTACATTATATTCACCTAAAATTTTACTACACTAACGATATTATATAGTCTAAGACTAACAGTTGAAATTAAAATATTGCAATTGTTACTACAAGAAATTATGGTTTTTCATTTTGGAAATTCGTCCCGAAAGTTATATAAGTTATTATATTCGATCAATTTTCCATTCACAACGCTATTCTGAAAAATGCTTTAAAATTTACATAAGTTTCTCGCAATTTAAACTTAAAAATGAACTACTAACCATAAGTTTTACTACAAAAAAGCATTGCAATAAGTTCATTAAACAAAATTATTCATAGCCAAAACCTATACACCACATATTGTTTTCTTTATTAGCTAATTTTATTTCATAAATTGAAATGATCAAAAACGTACGATATATGACTGATGGCCTATATAGCACCGGTTTATAAAAACCGCTCAGAAACTATACAAATATTTCCTAGATATTATACTTATAAATACTTTGTGAAGAAATATTTAAGTATCCATTTTTCCAAAAAAGCGTTATCTGTTATAAAAAAACAGTCTTATTTTCAATCTTTTTCCACGCTAGGACGTTAATTAGTTGAACTAACTTCACTGAAAACTGCACGTTAATCTAATAAAATATTATGCTATTAAATTTAACTAAGATCGGTCGTTTCCAAGAACCTATACCAAATTGAGTAATGCCACTATAAAAATGTGGATTCATTTTTCATATTCTTTATACCTACTTTCTTGGGAATTTAAAGTTTCATAACGTTCACAGTGTTGCCAAAGTTAAAATGTTGCAACGTTTTCAAATTTACTTTATGACTTATATTTTTCTGTTATAAAATCGGATAGTCTTTCTGTACTGCAATATTTTTCGTTTAATCTGATTTCAGCTAGTGTGGCGCAATTTGGTCATGCGATTTCAAGTTTATATCAATATAGTTCTCGCACTGAATCTTTTTTTTGAATAAAGTTTTATTGAATAGTTATTTATCATATTAGTTTTTTTTTAATTCTTTTATTTCAAGAAATTTTTGTATAGTGTCTACTTCATATTAATAATTACTACCACTTAATGGTAGAAATACATACGAGTACTGAAAATAATAATAAATATTATTATTTTTTGAGGAGACAGAAGAAATCAGGTTCGGATATTGTCAATTATGTAAAAAGCAGTACAAACTCGCTAATTACTGCTTAGTCAACTTTCCGAACTATAGATATTTATATCTACAACCGCATTGTTTACAGAAACACTCCTCATTTGATTCGAATCAGCGCCAGAGGCCTTAATTATCATCTTACAACAAAAGCAACCTGCGATAGACTGATAACCCAATTTCCAGATTTTCAATTAATCATAGCATCATCCTACTAGCTTCACGAGGGGCAAATTTAAATGTGAAGGCGTGTGTACATATCGCATGACTGTTTGTGAAGCTGTTCATTTGAGCAGTATTCGAGAGGTAGTCATATGAAGCAATACATCTCTTCTTAGTCTGCGTCTCAAGGCGTTGTTGTGAGAGCAGCCTCTCGATGTGGATACACACCTTAACACGGGAAATGCAGTATTAATTACAATAAGGCCAATTTGGTAAAAATGTAGAATTGTGAAAAGAGTTTCTCATTTTATTGCATAATGGTTAACTTATTAGTTTAACGTGCGGGGACGACTTTAAGTGCAAACAGTCCTAAAATGGTTTTCAGAACTACAAATGAATAAATAAATCACATATATTAGGGTGTAATATGAAACAATACAATTGCTCCTGCGTTCGCAATATATTGTTTGAAGCGACAAATTGACAGACACTAATGACGGTTTGAGTCAGCAAATAAACTGCCTAGTATCAGCGATGATATTATTAAGCCTTTTAACAGGAAAATATTAATTTAACAAAACAGCTTCTGAACCGGCGTCCTGCTTTGATGTGACTGTATTTATTTGTTTATTTATTATTACGTCCGCACTGCAGGGGCTCAGCCCTCCCCTATGGACAGTTAAGGAAGATGACCCAAAATGACCCTCAGGCCGGTCCAATCGGATTGAAGGGTATCAACAACTGCACGGAGTAGCTAGAGACAATATTTTTTGGTCACCCATCCCGTGCCTGACCCTTGCGAAAATTGCTTAACACCAACGATCTCAGCCCGAGGAATTTAAAATTACGATCTATGTAATAATGAACAAGGAAATGGCAATCTGACAATTTTAAGGGAGCATTGAAAATTTTGGATTTATTATTTCCATGCATCCCTTTTGAAGACAAAACTATGAAGATTATAAGAACTGAAATGTTCGCAACGGACATACATATCGTATAATTTATCGTTCCGGTAAAAACTGCGAACGATGTGAACTCATATCCTCTTCATTAGAGGTTTTTAAAATTTGAGAGCGTACAATTTTATTCAAAAATTAAAGTGCTTAATATCGAGTCTTTTTCGAGTATCTGGGATCTATCTGGGAAAATATTTTCCATCTAAAAGATTTAATGAAAACTTAGTATGGCCTATATCAAACCTTATTTAGGTTTATGAGAGCAGAAAAACAAAAATACGTTTCCTAGACTTATAATTAACGAGTTCATGATAGTGGTTTTTAGTGGTTTTAACTTAGGCAAGTCGTGAATTTAATTTCAAAATTCGAATTAAAGAATATAAGCAAGTGATTTGTTTTAATAAGTTAGTTAGTTTTCACAAAAACTTAATATAATTTGGGAATATTATAATATTGATAAAGTTAATTTCTAAATAAATTCTTCTTACGTATAAATTCCGCTAAAATAAAAATACTTCAAGTACCTCTAAGTATCTTTTGAATTGCAAACTCGAAATTCACGGATATGACAGCGCATAGGTGGAAGGAAAATTATATAATAATAATCAACTAAATTTGAAGTTGTGTCAATGTTTAAATTTTCATCAGTTTTAATTATTAGCCTACAATCAGAAGGCATAGCGAAAACTGATTTCCTTGTCAAACAAAAGGTTCACGGATGGATCTGTCAATTGCAGTAATTGACATCAAAATGTACGTTTATTTATAGAGATGACATTAGAATGTAATTCATTCATTTCATTTTCATTTTACATGAAGAAATTAATTTTTCACTTGACATTGGCTGAATTGTGCGAAATGTGCAGATAAACCATTATTAATAAAAGGAGAAGAAGGATGACATTAAAGTTATTGTAAAATACATTTACAAGCTAAAAAGATGTTTTTGATCTCCTTATGCACGCAATAATTACTGTAACAATTAGTTTGAAACAATAAATTGGATGTTTAAAGTTTGCAACTTTGTAAAGAGTCCTTTAAACTAAGTAACCTTTCTTAATTGCCTAAGATTGCAAATTAAATATTTCGTGCAATTGGTGGCGTAGTGGATAAGCGCCGCGGCCCGCAATCATTGTCGTTAAGCAACTTTCGTAAGGAGCGGTCACGGGATGGGTGACCAAAAAAATATTGTCCGAGATACTTCGTGCTTCGGAAGGCACGTTAAGCCGTTGGTCCCAGCTGCATTTGCAGTCGTTAATACCCTCCAATCAGAATTGGGCCAGCGTGGAGGGTCATGGCCCATCCTCACTAACCATCCATAAGGAAGGCCTGAGCCCCTGCAGTGGGGACGTAAAAGGGCTGATGCTGTGCATTCGCCCGATTGCGAAAAGTCAAGTTTCAAGTCCCATCTCAGAGTGCCAGGGTCAAAGGATTTTTAAGCATTATTCAAATCTCTCGCCATATGAAAGTAAAGTGTGAAGTAGGTTGAATTTATAACATATAAACCTCATAAAACGCTTTTTGTTTTTCTTCAACATTTTTTAACATTCACGTTTTTGAAATGATTGTAATCATTAAGATACAAAATAATTTACCACTTTATACAGTTTAATATACAAAGTCTTTCTATTATTTATTATATCATTATGTTCGTGGCCTGTTAAAAGCATTATAAACTTTGTACATAAAATATGCAATTACGTTAAAGATGCAATATTAAAATAAAAGTATGCAATGCCTATGATAATGCCTGAAGTAACACTAAATATTTTAATTTTTGTTTTTAAGTAAAGATTATTTGTATACATATTTATATACATTTACATTAGGGTTCTCTTACAAATTTGTACCATGATTATATATATATTTTAAATATTGTTTTAATGTACTATAAGTTTTCAAATGTTATTATTGTATTGAAGAATGATCAGTAATAGTAGTTAATTTTTTGCAAGTAATCATATAGCTAACTTTATTTGTAATATTAAATTTTGTTATAGTAAAAATTAAACTTCAAATTGGATAAATGTAGCTTAGAATAATAATGCTTATCTATTAAACAAACTTGACAGTTACCCAAGTGGATGGATATTAAACTTATCTAAGAACGCCGAAAATTAATTTAATTATATTTAGACATAACACTGAAATCAGTCACATTTAAAACGTTGGATAGGGTTATTTCTAATTACAAATAATATACATTTGACTGAAGACGAGATAATATCGTTAGCACTCTCACTGATTGTCTGGTTATTGCAGTATGTACCCATTATGGAAGGTTTACGTAGCTTCACCCGAGAGGTCCCTTTGGACGTTATGGCTACTGGACTACACTCAAATTGTATTAAATTCTGTAGCCCCTAAATAAACTAGATTTATCTAAACTAAATCCTTTAGATAAGGGAGGAAATTTAATTTATAAAGATTACTATGTCTTTATGCCAGAAAAAATACGATGCCTTTAAATACATTATTTTGTTGCTTAGAACCTACTCGTCAACTGTTAGAAGGCATTAAGTCTGCATTTTATAGTAATACTAATTAAATATATATTTATGAATCAACAATCGGCGCTCCAGACATTTGTTGGCCGGCGCTATTCCTCTAGAGGTTCTCATTAAGTCTAAAATATTTGACTATAGTAGAAAATTATGTATATACTCTGAAAATAGAATAAAATATATTTTAATGCATGATTTACTGGACCGTAGAAAAATAAATTCTTTGTGTGCTGATATTATATAGACTATACTCCTTTACTGAGAAAATTTATATGAACGTTAGTAACAAATAATAGAAATGATGTGGCTTAGATAATACGCATTAAAGTTGAGGAGTGACATGTCATTCGAAATATTAACTCAATTTATCGCCGCAATTTCTTGATAAACCAAAAAAATATGTGTTTAAAATATTCTATATAATCCACTCGACGGGCAGACAAATAAAAAGTAGTCATTATCACTATTAAAATTATATTTAGTAACCGCTTTGATAATCGTTAGTATAATTTGAACGAACTTAATTCTGAACTTTTGGTAATATTGTTACTTTAGTCTCGTTATAAAGTAAAAAAATAGTTGTTTCAGACAAAATATCAAATGCTACATTGTGAACTGAACATACATTTCGTATGAATTAAGAACCTAGTGGCCTATCATATTTGTACACGGACAAAAATCCAGAAAAAAATGAGTTTTATAATTTTGTTAACATCATATTCGTGAAAATTATCTCTCCAAGTGTCAGGACCCACTAATATTTCAATAATTTACGATGCAGCAGATTGCATTATAAATATTTTAAAATGCGTTTCTATGGAGTCGAATTACCATTTCTAAAATAGGCCAAATTACGTTTTCGGGAAACAGACCTGTCACGTTAATTTGAACGAGTAGCCCTACTTTTGCTACCTATTATTGGTTTAAATAGCTAAGTTGAAATTATAATACTCCATGAATATTTTACAATTCAAAACCATCAATCAAGAGTTAATTCATACATTAATAATCTTGAAGTCAAAATTTCCCAAGTTATATAATAACTTCTTAAAAGATAATTTCCTTTTTAGAGTCACCAGTCGTGCCAAAAGTTACCTTAAACGTCTCGTTTAACTTTTAAAAGGTTAAAAAGTAGTTTACGGCCAAGTTAATCCAAGGTGATAAGTAAATTTTGATGAAAAAAGTCTGTATGTAATTATAAAAATAAAATATGTAGACATTTAATGATGAGTAATTACAACAATGTCCATAATTAAAAAAAAGGAGATTCAAAAGACTAAACTAATTAAATGAAGTAAATAATTAGACATGGTCACATACAATACACCATATTGCTTAAGGAGCTCGACGGCGCAATGGTTAGTGAGCTCAGTCGACACGGTTGTTATGCAACTTACGAAAGGGTCTGCTATAGGATGGGTGACCAAAACTTATTTTCTCTAACGCCTCCATGCTTTCAGCATTGAGCTCGCGTGGTGGGTGTTTGCCTATTCTTCCTATTGATTCGATTCCATCCACCTGAGCCTGAGCCCCAGAAGTGGGAACATTAAGAGGTTGGTTATGATGATGTCGACAAACGCTGCTTAGTTTCAATGAGGGAACGTTGGAAATCCAAAATATTTTTTTCTACATAATTTTCATTTCAATCATTAATATTCGAATAAGGGACGTCTGAGAGTGCGATAACTTGACCCCAGAGCACACTCTGTATGTATACTTCACAAAGTATACGGCTTTAAGATGAAATCACAGGATAATTTATTATTCCTTTTTAATATCGGCTTATCCTAATGGAATCCACAAACATAAACATTTAATATCTTCGAAGTTTGATATACTGATTTCCGTTTTGCTATTATATCCATTTAAAAGTCTAGACTTCATCCATTTTGTTATAAAAATATCTGGGTGTATATAAGTTGTGCGGTTTGCTGAAATGAACGAGCATCGCTGGATGCAAGCCAACATTTTATGATTAGGTAAAACCATTTTCTGAATTGTTGACACTGAAAACTTCAAAAAATATGCATAACAACCTCTTTTATGAAAAAGAACGCGTAAATATTTTGAGAGTTTTATGGTTATTTTGATAGATTCTTCTTTTTTTACAAATTATTTTATATTTTTATTATATTTTTTCTCTGTGTTAAATCAAGTCTAACTATTTAAACTAATTCCATTCCATTCCATTCCATTCAACAAATGATATCTAAAATTTAATAACACCCTCTCTAACTTAATTTATTTCATGGCTTATCAAGATGATATTGTTGCATATGTTAGCATTAAGATCCTTATCGAAAATTAACAATTCTATAATATCTAAGAATTGGCTGTTGATTACCATAATACAAGTGCTTTGCTGAGCATTATATGGATATATTGTTTCATCTTTATTTATTTGTATAGTTAGTTATCATCTTGAATTAAGATTCTCATTATAATTACACTCAATATCTTAGATGGTATATTGATAAATGGCATCTTATCAGATTACATACACTTTGTATTAAAGTTGGGAACGTCGAACTTTACTCTTTACACGTAGCTTTTTCTTTAAACGCTATTAGAAATGATACCACTCAAGCAACAGAAACTTGAAACCACAAAAACAATCTCCCTTTTATGACTTATATTGGCTTCATTTTATTGATCCGGTAGAAGAAAACATTCGGATCTAAGCAAACACTTCCCTTCTGATTCACGAGTCTTGGAGTGGTTCCAGGGGGAGGTTCTACAGACTGTATTGCTTCCTTCCTACTGAGTTTTAAAGTGCGAGTTACTCTGTGCCGCATTGTACATTTGGCAAAGGCGACATGAATTAAATATTTGGCTGCGTTTTGGATGCATTTGTGGAATTTATGAGCTGTAAATGTAAAGCTGTTCTTATATACAAAACATTTTGTAAAGCGGTGTTAATTTAAATGGACTTCTTAATGTATGTTATTGTATTGCTCAAGATTTACTTTTATGAGTCATTTCATGTTTATAACTTTTTTACTAAATGTAAATTTCTATGCGCACTGATAACTTTTATGAAAAATACTATTATTGATGGTTACACTGTGTTTATAATTTTGTAGAGATATTTGAAAATATTTCTACAAAATTATTATATGCAGTTTGTGATTTTGGAACTTATAGAAAAAATTCAACAAGTGCTTGAGACAAATTTCCAACCTAGATATGACGACCTTTTGCAAACCAAGCAACTGCTCTATCAAAAGTAGCAGCTACTAATGATAATTTATTTATGTTTAACACGTCAACAATAATGAGTAATGTCGACTTGCACAAGTACTACAGTACTTCTACTATTTTGTTGCTGTCTACTATTTTGATTTTTGTAAAAGTGTATTAGTCACAAGTACGAGTGCTGTCTCGAGTAGAGCTATGTATTTTTTTACAAATATGAATATATACTAGGCAACTGGAAAGTGTCCATAGAGAGAGAGACTAAAGTGAAATTCTCACCCTCCGAGCTAGATGTCGGTAGTTCACAGAACCGAGGTTTAGTCTTGTTTAATTATAATATTTGTTCAATTTTGCTTTCACAATGCTATTTTGGAAAATATTCTTAATGAACAATTTGGAATCAAGGTCCAGCCGATGTATTTTGAAAGTTGCACATAATGTTAAGTCACGGCGAGACTTGATTATGTGAAACATCATGAAGATGCCATCTTACCATCTATCATTAGGCACAATAATATGAAACCGCGATGTGCTAGATGTCGTCACATATCTATAGAATTTTGATGTCATGACAAGTATATTATTTTGTCCGCAGAGTCGACTTCAGAGATGGCCCGCCAGTGCATTGGGCAGTTGCTGGAGAGTTTGGTGCTAGAACTCATTTTGTGCTAAATGAGTCCGATCCATCGTCAGCACATCTCGCTGTAGAGAAGGTTGCCCATCAAGACGAGGGCTTGTACAGATGTAGAATCGACTACGTTGATTCGCCCACTAGAAATTACAAGGTCAATCTGACAGTTATCGGTGAGTATAATAGCAACAAAGTATCGCTATCACCAGCCCTTTTACGTTGCCACTGCAGGAGCTCAGGCCTTCCTTGTGGATTGATATGGAGGACCGGCCATGACCATCCACGCTGGTCCAATGTGGATTGGAGATTAACGACTGCAAATGCAGCCGACAGCTTTACGTGTCTTCCGAAACACGAAGTAGCTTGATATAATCATTTTTAGTCACCTATCCCGTGACCGACCCTTGCGAACGTTGCTTAACAATGAACTTTTGCATCTTTTTATGCCGATTTGAACTTTTGATTTTCTTCCAAGTGATTATAGGCCTGCATAGTTGATATTTACTTGCCGATATTTCCACGTGGTTCGGAAAAAAAATACGGATAAACTTACATACATTTATGATCTCATTTCTCAGAAATCTCTCATTGGATTTCCTTGTAACATCTTTTCTTTGAAAATCATTTGAAAGGAGAAAATAAAGGCTTATTCCGTTTTTTTGTGATTTCAGTTCCTCCAGAATCTCCTCGAATATATGATTTTGAAGGAAGAGAAATTCTAGGAAGCATTGCTGGACCTTTTAGGGAAGGACAAGATTTGCTTCTCTCATGTCAAGCTGCTGGAGGTAAGCTTCTTATCTAATTTTAATAATCATTCAAGCAATTATAATTACTTATCTATTAAAAAAATAATTGTCTCGTTTATCAGAATCAGGATAAGATATCAATATTGCATTTTAAAAGAAAAATGTTTTAAATAGGTAATAAGGTACTGTGGCCCAATAAACCCCATTGTTTTTGACCACTGACGAGTGAGTAGAAATACGCGTCAAGTTCCACGTCGACTAATCAATAATGTAATGTAAATCTATTCAATTTTATTTTTAAATGGGCTTTATTAGGTGCCAGCTCATTATACAACGAGTATATTCCCTTTAGAACTATTAATATTATCTCTTATATGTAGGTAAACCAGCGCCTGACGTGTCATGGTGGCAGGGCGAAGAACGCTTGGCAATCACTAAAGGTGGCTCAGTATGTCAACTTCTGCTGCAAAGTTTGTCCAGAGAAATGGCTGGTACTCATCTACATTGCAAAGTTGAACCACCGTTATTGCAACCTATCGTCAGAGAAGTGACTTTAAAATTATTCTGTAAGTAAAAAATAGTTATATATATTTTATAAAATTGTTTCCAGTCAAATTCAGTAATTTTACCGCGTTACCGTTAATCTTTGGTTTTTATCACAATACAAAAGGGATGACGACTGGGTAAAAAAAAAGAAATTCTACTTAGTCCATCAGTCAGATAATAGAAAAATATTAGATACGTATTTTTTCGGATGAAGTTAAACGGGAATTGGCTTAGATAATAGGCATTAAATTTGTGGAGTGGGGGCTCACTACGTCACAGCTTTGTAGAAAATTAAAGAGTGACGTCATGCGACATTTTAACTCAATGTAAAAAAACGAACGTTTTTAATATTCTTCAGTAATCTATCCGACGGACAGCCAAAAAAAAGTCTTCATCTCTATTATTTGTATTTAATATAATTGTTTATTCACGCAAGATGATCTCTGTACAGATAGAGGTTACTTCGAGACTTCATAAAATAATGTAAGTGATACCAAACAAGCGATGAAGTCTTTACTTAGTCTCATTATATGGATATTTATATTATTATTACTTACAATTATATAAAATAACCATAAATTAATTCAAAACCAAATGCGTTCTCACACAAAATAAAGTAAAATTTTATGAATAAGAATACTGTTATATCCAGCTTGATCGTGCGCTGTTATTATTATTACATTAAAAGATAAATAGTACAAATAAAAACAAAATAAAAGTCACAAAAATTCAAATAAAAAAATAAAAAATGCCTAAAGAGAAAGAAAATGGTAAAGCTGTCATCAATATAATCTTAATAATATAATAAAACCTTCAGCATATGCTATATACATTTTTAAAGTAATAATACTACATTAAATTCTCTTGAACCAGGCTTTATAATATCCTACAAGTAATAACCTACCATATTTTGACTATTGCTTGTTTTTATTATTGTCTATGGAAAAAGTCTAATAAGTCTTGAATAGAAAATTTCGTATCTTATGTAGTAATTGTTCCGTGCAGTGAAGCCTCAATTCGTTCGTGTATCGGGGAAGGGGGCGGCGCGCGCGGGGCAAGACCGCTCGTTCGTATGCACCACGCGGGGATCCAAGCCTGCACCCAACATCGATTGGTTTATCAATTCTCAGCTCGTCGACTCCACTTTGACCCAGGTGAGTTGGAATTCTTCAACTTTTATATAACTTCTTTTTTTCTTAATGTTTTCAATGGGATCTCGGGTCATTTGTTTTACTAATAATAATTCTATGGATGTATCATTTATTGCACGACAGGAGAAAAATATCACAATGACGGTCTTTTCTGATGCAACTTAAACATGGAACTTATCTATGTACATAATAATAAAAGAAATGTGGGCATTGAGAAATGCTGAATGGGATATAAAATACTTCGTTTACAATTTTTGAATATCGAGAGTGTTATTTCACTTACTTTCAACCTGTGCTTTCAACTAATTTTGTGCAAAGAAATAACGTCCGTTAACAGCAAACTACGTTATACATTATTCTGTCACAACCAAAAGCGAATTTATATAACTTTGTCAACAGAATTAAATCACTTACTTAACCCTATAATTCAGCATTTCTAATTTTTTTAGAAAACAATTATCAAATCGTCATTCAATGTATCCGAGGGCTATTATATGATTTATTCATTTATAATAAATCGATAAAGGTTTGCGTTTTGTCTAACGTATTGCTAAATATAAAGATGAAGACAAAAACAAAGTTATAAGTGACGACAATAATTATTTGCGCACAAAAATATATCTAATTTTGCATTTAAACATTTTAACGTGTTTAATCGTAGGTGGAGGTTGATGGGGAGGTGACAAAGAGTGTGTTGTCGTGGCACGTTAGAAGGGAAGACACTGGGAGGCAGCTTGTATGCAGAGTCTCAAACCCGTGGTTTCCTGCCTACACTCTCGAAGATTCATTAATGCTCGATGTTATGTGTAAGATGATAATATCTTATAATTAATATTTAGTTATAACATATTTTATATTAACATATCGATCAATATTCAATTTGCAATGTGGAAAATAAAAAAGTTTCCATTAGAGAATAAATGACAAAATCTTTTTTGAATATACCTATGTTTAAGTCGATATTGAATTTAAAAGTAGCCCTGATTTTAAAGTGCGCTTACAATTGAGGACAAAATAATGGTGCACGACAAAAACAAAAACGGAACCACTAAAAACCACGGACAATATATCAAAAGCGCGCCACACACGAGATAGGGAAGCGGGAGAGTTCCGGCGCTGTTTGCTTTCAGGGCTGCCATTCGTTTACAATACAATAACCTAATGTTATACAATAACAGCAACCAAATCAATAAGTTTGAAAATGCAATAAGAATTAGTATTATAATAAAATAAAAATCACTTTTATAATGTACAAATTTTTTATAAATTAAAAATAATTTAATACATATGCCATACTTAGTACTATAACAGTCTTACAATTATTTGTTTATATTTGATAATTGAAGTAAATTGAAGACTGATAAAATGGCGTGAGCTCATTCCAACCCTGATTCGTGTTTTGAGGTGTGTGCCAGCAACTTTGTCCCCAAGTTTAAATATTATCGCAGCTCGCGGGTCTTGTTGCGCGTGTTTATAACATTACTCTATGTGTACACTTACCGTCTTATTATAAAACGATAACTATAGTTAGCAGTTAGTTTAAACTACTGGCCGGCTATAGCAAATTGACAATGATAGAAGAAAAACATAAATTTGAGACTTACTTATTATGTAGGTAGTCTGTTATAATAAGAGTGGTCCTTTCAATAGCATATATTATATTTAATTTTGAGGTCATTTAGAACTTCTCTTTCACATTTATAAATTATTAAATTAAATATTCATTTTATAAAGTATTTGTTGTTTTCCCGGGAAATCGCCCAATTAAATTATTGCCTATTTCACTAGAGTTTGATGTAGGTGAATACATTTTCAAAGATTACCCCATATATACAAACATAAAAGTTAGATATTGTACCCATTCAAATTATTAGTATAGATAAGAGTTTCATTATTGTTATCTTCACATATTTATTGTCCCTTGCAATTTACAATATATTCTGCTCTTGATTTTATTATTTCAGTTCAGCGCAAAGTATAACAATTTAATTTACATTATAGTTTCCCCATATATAAATATGTTACTAAGCTTAATCAATTTGCTATCTTATTATCGTCACGAATATATCTGTAGATTTATATATTTTTTCTAGAGTATCACTTGAAAGTTTATTTTGGTATGTTTGTGCCTGTCTGGTTTATTCATTTGACTGTCGCTGCTAGATTACATAAGAGAGTTTTGTTAATACAAAGTTAGAAGCTTTTACTGTTAAATACTGTCAAGATACGACAAACTTTAGCTTTAACATGCCACAATGTTGGTACAGTAGGTATAAAACTTTATTTATAAATTATAAACCAAATATTGTATTTTAATAATTATGCGAGCTATCATGCCTTTTATTCTTTATTCAAAATAAATTACTATTAGTACACTTATAGCTTAAGACTCCAGTATAGCTTGCCAGTATCCTGCACACAGTATCCTCAGACTATGTGGGCAAAGCCGTGGGTTACAGCTAGTAATATATAACCACTAGGTATCCTATTTGACCATGATTGTTTTATATTGATACCAATAATTTATTCATAAAAGTAGTTGTTCAATTGACGAGATACCGAAATACTAAAGCTCTTTGTGAAGAGAATGAAAAAAGTTATTATCAAATAATACTATGGCTAATGTTATTGATAACTGCTATGCCATTTTGAAATAAAAAAAATCCCGAAATTGACGTCGAGGACACGCTGTCACAGCATTAGTTTTTTATTTTTTCGGACCTCTATGCTGTGACATTGACGTCGATTAAAAAGCCGATTTCGTTACATAAAAGCAGAGTGTAGACTGTATACAATAATAAAATATAAATTAAGAAACGAAATGATTTAACACCTGGAATATATTTACAAGAAAAATGAAGAAATCAATTTAACAGAAATTATATAGTTTTTTTCATTAAATCATGTATTTCTCAAATGAAAATATTACCACGCCTCCTGTTATAGGTAGAAATAATTAAAATTTATTTTCCTTGCTAGTATAATAACTGTAGGAATTGAATTTAAAAATGCAAGTTTATTTTAGTAACATTATTTTATTCACGTAACAAACGCAATAACACAACTTGTTGTAAAACAAACAAACGATGTAATAATTGTACAGTAACCAACTCCCTAGTTGGAACTGATGTCATAGATTATTTCAATTTACAGACCCTAATATGTATGAAAGTTAATGAGTCAACCAATTTCCTTTTAATGCTTTATCTCATGGGATGCCATGCAATCAGCAGCGCTGCCGGCCCACCCCTTTGTTATTTAGTTTAATGTTAGTAAGATTCACTGCTTCCGTTACTTCTCTTAGCGACCGTGCGATGCCAAAAGTAGACAATAACCTCGACCTCCATACGGGATTAGTAGTTTTATAACTATTATTGCTTATTAGACATTTGCTTCATGTATTTTTGTACGCGTCACTATCGATGAAATCTTGAATACGTTTTAATACAGTTTGATATTTTTTGATTCTGCGGAGCCACGTCACTGCTATGCTAGCTCTAATAAGATGTAACTCTTAATTTATTAATCTCTAGTTCTTAACCAAACACAAATAAAATATTAAAAAGTCTTATTTACCAGCAAATTATCTTTAATAACAGACTAAATTTGTTATGGTTTAAATATCTGATCACAATATCTTAATACGAATATTTTCTATCTGGCGTTATTTTTTTCACATCTGCTATATTTAATCTATGATCAAGTAGCGGTATGGGTCGCTCCGACTTTGTCGAGGTATCGCGAGCAGAATAAACAATTTTAGCCTGTCCGATCCAATGCAGGTCTGTTTTAGTTTTATTCAATTTTAAATCATGATTGCCTTGCAGCTCGATCTAATTTTGAACATAATTGCTAACTATTCAATATTGGAGGAATAGTTTTAGTACAGCAAAATTGAATCATTGAATACAACTCAAAGATTACATACAATGTCACATCCTTGGTTTAGTAACTACAAAACAGCTTTCAGCCCAGAAAAAAAATATTCCAATCCAGAAAAATGTACACAAAATGAGATTAACATAATAACTCTTAAAAATATGATTATAATTAAAATCGATCTACCGACCGACCACCATATAATGCATTAACGTCTAAATTAAACTTGTGTGCAAAGTTGAGGATAACTATTTCAAAATGCACACATGAATACATTGCAAGTCTAATGACAGATTTTATATAAGCGTTTATTTTACTTTTCAATGTAAAAGTTTTTTTTTACATTCTATTTATAATATTTGGTCAAAATATTTGAATTTGCAATTTTTAAGACAACATCACATATATTGATTAGATTATTGTATTAGTAGTAGTATTAAAAGGCGGTTTTCTTTGCGACGCGGATCGGCCGCCACGGACATCCGCTTAGGTTATCCGGGTAGCACTGTACTAGGCCTATGAATGTTTGAAACGACGTAAGAACATATTTTTGTAATAATATGTAACGTTTTCTTAGATGCTCCAGTGGCGCAAATATCGCTGATATATCCAAAAGAGCCACGACTACTGAGAGAGGATGAGAACGCAGAACTTCTTTGTTCAGCTGATGCGTCTCCGCCCGCATTCAATTTCACCTTCTATAAAGGTACAGAGGTAAGAGTGGTATTTCCATTATTATGTATGTAGTATATTTATTTGTTAATAATTGTCCTTCGGTTATACACGGTTATCCGTGAGTGTGCTTCGATGTCTGAATTCAAACTTAATAGATATTAATAGAAATGACATTTCAAGTATATTATTTTATGATAGCGTTACCCCGCGTATATTAGATTGGCTTTATAACTCTCGGTTACCCGTCTCCTTGTTACTAGTAAACAAGTGAAAAACAATAAAATGTTACATTTATGTATATTAAATAGAATTCTCTAATGTTGAAGCTAAAGTCATGAAGGCTCATAATTATTATTTTTATTTAATTATTAGCTGTGCCTGCGAGTTAGTCGGCGTGGATAGTAACTTATGTTACTTCTTATTATATAAGCTATTGGATGTTTTAAGGATGACAAAAAAATATATATTTTGGTTTGTTAGGTTATCCGCGTAGCACTTTGTGTTTTGTACGTTTGTGTACCTTGTATACATATAGGTGTATATATTTTATAAAAAGTGGTTATTTTAACATTATATGCCTTTGGTGGTTTAGGGTTCTGTAGTAAACAAGGAACCCTTATACCTATAGTTCCGTTATGTCTATCCGCGGTTTAGTTCAAATATTATTGGTACTAGAATATTGTAATTTGGCATAAGTATACACGTTAATTACGCCGAAAAAGTGGTAAAGTAAAATAACGATTTATTTTTTTAATGCTAGGCACCTCCTCTACGTTTACTGTTGTAACGTTATGTCGTACCACCGTTTATTTAGTCCTAGGTTTCAGCATGCAAACTTTTTGTTTTTGATATTCAACATCATTTCTTTTTAATATTCACCTTTCGGAATTTGAAATTTTGACTAATCAAATATGCTCTTTATGAATGTCGATTCGTAAAAAAAAATGTTGTGAACATATTATTTTTAAATATAAATATTATAATAATGAATTATTGCTCTTTGCTCACGGACACACTAATCTCAAATAGCTTCACTATTGTTGTTGCGCTTTGTAGGGGACACGGAATCTGGATAATAGTTAGATTGACTATTTTTCATCAAGGTATTGAGTTGAAAATTTCGAAAAATTCCACAGAAAACAATCAATGTATTTTTTTTAACTTTTTTTAATGGATAATGGGATGGAACCCTTCGTGCGCGAGTACGACTTACACTTGGTCGGTTTTTTCATTGTAAACGATTTATATGTACAAACTGATTAAATTAAATTATCTCCCTTTAAGTCAAATTGTAAATCAACCAATCTAGTTTCTGAGTTAATTGGATGGACAAAATGACAGCCGAGTAATCCCGTAAGGCTTTCGTATTTTATTTGACTTACGGAATCCTAAAAACGTTACCGTTATCCATTTTTTTTCGTTATAATCTGCTAACCCATTTATGGCGAGTATAAAATTGATAGTCCCCACCGAATAATATTTTGCCGTTGAACCTTGAACGTAATGGAGGTATAGTTTTCAGTTACAGCACTGAATATCAAATTGATCACGTACGTTAGGTAAACCGTCTATTAGAATCTTGAATGGCCCGATTTTTTTTTTCAATATAATAGGGGTGATGACTAATTTTTGTTTGTTTGTCCGTCAGGTAAAGTGTTATAAAATGTTAAACACGACTTTTTTATTTTTTCGTAATCATAAAATTACGGCGTTACATTGAGTTGAAATTTCGCATGACGTCACGTTAGGGTACGTTTTCTACTCAACTGTGACGTAGCGAGCCACCACTCCTCAACTTTAATGCCGGTTATCTAAGCTATTTCTTGTTAAATTGAAGTAAAAAAAATTCGTATCTAATATTTTTCTATTATTTGACTGACGGACTAAATAGAATTGCATTTTTTTTACCCAGTCATCATCCCTATTTATAGTGCGTTTAGCAAACATCGCGGAAAAAGAAAAATTACTTAACTATTATATTTAACTACTATAATATAACGTAAAGAAGCAGCAGTAATTAAGATTTACAGATTAATTGTGATCGTGAGCTAATTCTTCTTCTTTCTGCGGTTTGATGATACAGTGATAATATTATAGTTTTAGTTGTATTTAATTTAATTTAGAAAGGGAAAGTGTTAGTTCTACGATATTTTTATTATCAGTAATGATGTAAAAACTCGATGGACAAATTAGTTCAAAACAATAAAAAGAAAATGATCTGTTAAGAGAATACTTTGCAAATTCTTATATATATAATTATAAAACCAGTTAACTGCTGATTAGTAACAGATAATATAAATAAGATAACAGACAAAAAGATGCCAATGGATAGACTTTTTAAGGGAGTTTAATAGGCACCTTAGAAACATTTATTTCAATCTGTCTTCACACACATTGTGTATGTTATGAAGTCTTATTTTCATCAGCATGGCCCCATTGCAGGAGTTCAGGTCTTTCGTACGGTTAAGGTTAAGGGCCATGACCCTCCACGCTGGCCCAATGCAGGTTGGAGGGTATTAATGACTGCAAATGCAGCCCAGAGAAACGGAATAACGTGCCTTCCGGAGTGCAGAGTAACTCGAGATAATATTTTTTTGGTCACCCATTTTGTGACCGACCCTTGGGAAAGTTGCTTAACAATAACAATCGCGTGCCGCGGAGATTATCCGCTACGCCACTGAGCTACTCTGTGAGAATTATTTTCCTAATATAAAATACTTAACTTTCACCTAGCGTGACGTGCGATCAGTAATGTGAATTTAATTGTAACGTTATGAAAATTCAATTTGTTACACCAGAAAATAACTTTATAATAACTGTTTATTAATTCGCCGCAAATTTCTTTTGTAATAAAAAGACTCAAAGCAATCCCAATACCGAAATATGACTTCTAACTTATAACTTTATTTTATAACTCACTATAAGATATGAGTATATAATCAGTATTAGGTAGGTAAATAATATAACCAGTAGCCTAATTGTCTAAAAAAAATGTTCACAAATCGTTTTATCTTATATTTTATTAATTTTGCATTCACAATGCTATATTGAAAAATAATCTTAGTGAATAATGTTACTTTTCGGCTACTATAGAGTTTGAAAAATTCGTCAGTCCTGTTAGGTCCTAGGTAGCTCAGTGGTTAAAATAGTCGCCCGGATTGCGAAGTCATAGAACCGTGTCTCATCTCAGAGTAATAGGAGCAAAGTGGATTTTTAAGCATTTTTCATTAAGAATAATTATCATCCTATTTTACCCAGTTAACACATCTTCAATAAATTTTATACTAAAGCTTTCAGTATCAATTACACCATATATTTTTGAAAATCCGTTCAACATATTTGAGTTTATGACGATTAGGAATTTTAGGGCTTTTTCGAACAGAATTTGTCCAACGTTCTATAATAAGTTTCACATGAATTCTCTGCTCACAATTAAATGTCTACGTCATAACATTGAACAAAGCAGCATGATGGCGCAGTGTCAATTGCCTGCGGAGTTTAGAGCTTTTGCAAGCGTTAATTACTCTATGGGTGACCGAAAATATGTTATCTGTAGTTTTTTTGGACTTCAAAATCATGACAATTCGTTAGTACCCACCAATCTCCATTAGGAATGCATAGAATGGTTTGTTTTAGATGAGATTCTATCTCGGGGTACCTGAGACTGGTGAATTAATCTTTAAGATAAACAAGATATTATTTAGTATGGTATTATTATTAACTATATATACTACAGATATGTATTAACTATAATATACAAATGCTTAGTTGAATAAGGATTGTTGTACCTCTACAAGTATGCTATTTACATTCTTTGACTAGGTACACCTCATTCGTGATGATCCGATTGGAGGGATAGCAGTCGAAGGAAACAAGTTGATACTAAGAAGTCTAAGGCGACACCATTCAGCTTTATATAGGTGTCGAGCGAGAAACTCCGAGGGGAGTGCACTAAGCGAACCGATTACTTTGAATGTGTTGTGTAAGTAATTATTATTATTTAGCAAATTCTTAAAACTACGGTAGTAAGGAAAACTTAGTAATTCAGTGTTTTAGCTATCAAATACTTTTAGATTAAATCGTCATATTTTGGAAAGGAGAATGAGCAGAATTCGGCTAAAATTACGCAAAATTGCGCACTAAGCATTTATTTATCAAAAATTTTCTCCCTATTTATAATGTATTCTATACAAATAGTATTTTAAAATTACGCGGCATTTAAAATTAACTCAATTGAAGCAATTGCTTAATATAACTACGACTACCTACTAAGTTTCCAAGTTATTAATCGACTTGACGTGCGAATTTCCCATCACTAATTTTACAAAATAAAGTATTTTAACATTGAAAATGTTGGTCAGGTATTATATTGATCTTTTTTTTTAATCTGCCCAGTTGTTTTTGAGTTTATTCTTTACAATTAAAAGCAAAGCATTCGTTTTTATAACATAGGTATGTACTTTTTCACAGTTAAATGCTTCTAACTGTTAGTCAACAATTATTTGAAATAAATAATTCATTTTATTGCTCTTATATACGTAGATATTATTACGACATAACCTCAAAATCCTTGTTAAATATTCAGATATTCTCCAACTCTGGCATAAATTTAAAATGATTTTTTTCCTACTCATTCTAATAATAATTCTCTATCATCTGCCGTTAGTTTCAACAAGGTGCATAGTTACGCAAAAATAGCCGAACTCTCATAATAAATTGCCCATTCTTCTTTGAATTCGTTTTTAGGTTTATAAGTTTTAGGCATTCTCTATGTTACTATCAAACTTATTATGAATATATATATAATCGTATATAACTAGCTGTGATCTTGAGACTCCGCTCAAGTAAATAATAGCCTATAGCACTTGCGTAGGATGCTTCCAGTAGGTGAAATAATTTTCACGATCAGATATTTCCAAATATTACCTCCTAAAAACAATCAAAGTTAGAAACTTTAACTTTTACAACATTTGTAAGATATGTTATTACCAATAATATGTTATTAATTCAGCGCGCCCAGAGTGTGCAGCTGGTAGCGTAGTTCAACAGTTAGCGGGTGCGCCAGGAGGTGAAGTAAGAGCTAGATGTTCAGTCACAGCCCCATCTACAAGAGATGCTGGCCCCTTGAGGTTTTATTGGACTTACAATGGGACTAAAGATGTTCTACCTGTAAGTATCATATATATTGTAGAGCAGAAGATCCAGTTTTGATCACTTTCCCAATTTTAGCTAATTGGAAGTTTAAGGCGTTGCGAATATACTATTTTTCCACTAACGGTTATTCAAATGTTGCATTACGGCAAAAACTAATACAGTTAACAGCTCTGAAGTTTACTTCTTTGTAGCTCTTTAAATGGCCATATTATAAAGGACATACATACTTTCTTTCTTTATTACTTGTAAACGCAAAAACTGCTAAACGGATTTAGATTAAATTTGGTATATAGGCAATTCTTGGTGTGGATTAACATATAGGCTACATATAGGCTTTTATACCTCTAAAAGGTTTCCTAGGGATAGAAGTACTTTCAAGGGCGCCTATTTTCGTGAATGCTGCCTAAACTGTAAGAGATTTATTTGTGACGTAGAAAGCTTCTCATTGCGATTTTAATTGATTTGAATCCAATCCGTTCGGGGAAAATATATTCATTAGTTAGATTTTAAATTAACATTGTATAGAAATACAATCAACTAACGATATGTCCCTTTTAATAAAACTATATAGTGAAATATATGTTATAGAAGATCAAATGGAAAATCCATGTATGCAAAATCAATTAAAAATCTTGACTCTTTGAAATTTTGTTGCAGATACCAGTGTCAAATGTAACAGTATTGGGATACAGTAGTACTGTGATTCATGGTTTGCCATCCGATAATAGCGATGATGATCTTGGTTGGTTGGCATGTTGGGCTAGTAATGATATAGGAAACCAAAGAGAGCCCTGTCTATTTAGAATTATGCCTGCTGGTAAGTAAATATAAAAATATTAAATCAATTAAGTCAAGTGAGGAACATATTTGTTATCAACCAAAGATGCTATAATACCCGCAGAGGGACATACCCTACAAAGGACGAACAAATTAGGGGCGAACAGCGCGAGAACTGGTCTTTGGGCTATTCCCGTGCATATTCTTCATGGAGAATTACATCGTTGTAGTAATGCATTTAAAAAAGAAGAACCTAACGTTAAAAAAGAAGATACATGGACAGGAACGAGGAGCTTGAAGGAGAGGTGGTTAGCGAGTTCGATCTGTGATGCAGAAGTTAAGCAACTTTCGTAAAGTTCGGTCATAGTAGGATGATAAAAAATTTATAATCTTGATCACCTCTGTGCTTCTAAAAGCACAATACGCCATAGATCTTGGCTAGATCTGCAATTGTTAGCACCACCAATTCACACGGGTCCCATGTTATAGATCATAGCCTATTCTCCCTATTCAATTCGATACCATTTGTAGGGACCCAAGCAGTGGACCTATTAGCTAGTGATCATGATAATAATGTAGAAATTTCTAAACTATTATAAGCATTCGAAAACATTTTAGCTCTACCGGAGCCACCGAGCAATTGTGAAATAGAGAACGAAGTACTTCAATGTGAACCAGGTCATGATGGTGGACTGACGCAGAGGTTCCTCCTGGAAGCGCTGGAGGTACGGCCCCGTACGGAACCTGTGCCAGAGGAAAATGAGATCTCCACACTAAATGATCAGGTGAGCGCGGCTTCTATTTGCTTTGCCGTGCTTTCTGGCCATAAGTTAATGCTTGAGTATACTGCCAATATACAAAAAAAAATCACGATATAGAAAAACAAGTGGAGTTTTCTCATTACAGTATTTTCTATATTATCAGTTAATGAATAAATTATTGTGGATGATCATTAGTTGAACATTTTCCAAGGTTTAAAGAAGATGAATATTATTGAGAACTTTCTACCTAGTTTGTTTACAACACATGAAACTCATATCAAGAAAATAATTAAAAGTATTACTAAGTATTACTTTTCCCTACTTCGTCTCCATGTAATATATTTGGCATCCTATAACAATATTATATAACGCCATGAATTATTAAATGTTGCTAAGCTATGCCTGATCATGTACACTCAAAAATACAAAATAAATATGTCACAAACTGTTTCATTATGTCTTGCTCTAACTTAAGAATTTGTATAGTCATGGAATAGGACACGTTCAGTTGACGACATGTTGAACATTGTTTTTTTTATTTGAATTCAAATTAAATGTGTATCTTTCTGTCGTTCAGTTTGATTAAAACCAATGAAATAAATAAGTAGATCTAAATTGTGATGGTAATGATGGACTTCCTTCCGGACCTCGAGTACGAGTAGACGCTTGTAAACCCACGTTTGTTTAGTTTTTAATTTAAAAAAATTGAATTTTAAAATAATAAAATCAGTGCCATAAATTAGGAACGCATAAGTCCGCAAGAGTGTTCAATCTACAGTGACACATATTTGCATCAACGACTACGACATTGTTTATGTGAGACTACCGCGTGCAGGTGCGTAACATTAAAAACTCCATCTGTCTCACTCAACCGCACGCAAAACACTCGCCGCTGCAACACGCCGCCGCCGCCCGCGCCGCCCGCCTGCGCCCCGCTGCCGTTTGGCCAAACTACCACAAACTTATGCGATCCTGGTACGCTCACCAAACTACCTATTTTAACTAATATCGGACCCGACCGGGCGTTGTTAAATTGTGGTTAGTTTGATGAAGAAACACCTTAACGTTTAACTGTGGCTCATATAACCCTAGTACTTGTAATAGTGAACCATGACTAATTCTGGTACACAAGCGAATTACAAAGATATTACAAAGCGTATGATTTGAATTTTCGCGCCACTGAGTAATTGTCACACCATAATTCTGTCACACTATGTTTATGTGATCCTGGTACAGTTATCTCACCGACAGGAACAAATACTTACTACTTGCCCCATAGAAAACAAGGAATACTGGTTGGTTTAACCTAATGTATGGATGGTTTGAAGTTCGCGCCATTATTCGATTGCAGCGACAATCTTACGAGATCCTGGTACAATCACACACTGAAGATTTATTTGTTGGTCTCTGTACCTCTGACATTAGCTAAGTTTAAGCTATCTATTTCGTCCCATGTTCTCCTGGTATCTTAAGACAGATAAATAATCTATAGCAGTCTTAAGTTGATTGAGACACATATATTTGGCGCCGCTCCGGTACGGCCAAATTATATTACTACAACTTTTATGAAGTCCCGGTAACTGCAATCTACAACAACAAGCTAATACGCAATACAGCGCGTGGCGCGGTAAACTGCTTCTACTAACTTCTATTATCTTGTTATTTAAGCACATATTACTGCAATTAATTTACTTCACCTGTTAAACAAAATCTAGCAATCTTGCGACCGAAATACCTCCTACTTCAGTGTGGGCTCCTAGTAGTACAAACAAATATGAATAAATCCTTGTCCGAGTCAAACTTGAACGACCAGATTACGGCAGGCGAACAAAATATCACCCCCCCGAACTTTGTTTTTACACGTGCTGCTAAAAAGAGGAAAGAACAGGACAGTCCTACTAATCTGATGGAGCTTCCATACAGCGCTACAGAAAATGATTTCCACGCGTTTGTTAATGAAATGAGAGGTATGTTTAACAACTTACTTGCTGCCCAGCGACAGGAATTTGACAACATAAATCCTACATTAAAGAGTATTCAAGAAACCAACGCAAAAATCGAGGCATCTATTGAATACCTACACATAGAGAACACAGAACTAAAAAAGAAAATTAAGAACTTAGAACAGCAGAAAAAAGAAGATGCGAAATACATTGTCTCACTTGAAGAGAAGTTAGAAAATGTACAGAAAGGATACAGGAAGGCTAATTTTGAAATTAAAAATGTTCCAAAAGTAGAAAAAGAGACAAAAGAAGACTTGATAAAATTGACTACTTGTCTATCCAATACCGTTGGTGTAAACATAACTAAATCTGACATTAAAGATATATACAGAGTTCGCGGAAGAAAAGAGAATATCTCAAATGCACCTATTGTTGTAGAAATGGCTTCAACTCTACTCAAGATGGATATTTTAAAGAACTGTAAGGCCTATAACAAAAGGAACACGACAAAGCTTTGTGCGAAACATCTAGGATGTGCTGTAAATAAAGAGACCCCCATCTACGTCTCCGAACAGCTTACACCCAAGGCCTCACGGTTATATTTCCTTGCGCGAGATTTAGTTAAATCAACATCTTTTACCTTTTGTTGGACTGCCTACGGAAATGTATATGTCAGAAAGGATGAAAATTCTTCAATAATAGCAATCATTAATGAAACTCAAATCCAAAAGCTTTATAACTCTGACTGACTAGTTAAGCAATCAGCGTATATATTAAGTTTCCTTATTTTTTCTTGTAATAGTTTAAGTAATTTCTTAAAGATTTTATTGATATCTTGGATATACATCCTTGGTAACACTGTACACAGTCATTGTAAAATGACACACATTATGAATACGCACAGCTTGCGTGCAATTATACCTATAACCAATTGTACACACGTCCAACCACGCAAACACATTATATACACATACATTACATCTAATTCTAAGTATATATTGTTATCAGCTCTATATAAAATAGATATTTACTTAAAAAATGCCCAATACCAGTCCACTTGCACATACGTCCAATCACTCAAATACACCATACATACAAACAAAACATACTCTAAATACATATTGCTACTTGCTCTATATAAAAAAGTTATTAGACCGTACTATGAATACAAACAATTGCCCATTAATCCATATAACATCTATGTAACAAATCGAATCTCAGTACAAAACTTTATTAAATAATGGCTGACAATTTTAGAAACTTAACTGAACTAGATAATATAGCAATCGCAAGGTCTCTAACATGTGATATACAGGATTTGAAGAATCACATAAATTTCAATGTTAATAACCTCACAGTAATCCAACAAAACATAAGAAGTATCTACTGCAATTTTGATAACTTTGAGGCAACTCTATCTGATTTTAGTTCGGAAGTTGACGTAATGGTACTTACTGAGTGTCGTCTTAATGTAAATAAACCGCTCCCGTCGGTCAATGACTACACTCATTATGCTACTATGTTTAATTGCAACCAAAATGATGGTGTAGTTGTCTATGCTAAAACTAATTTGAATCCAATTTTTAAGGAACACTCTTTGAATAACGCATCTTGCATTCAGTTAAATATATGTGGGTGCACATTATTAGGCATATACCGTTCACCCTCGCAGCAGAATGCATCTAATTTTATAACTTCACTAAACACCTTATTAGACACGATTAAAAGCGATAAAAACGTCATAATTTCTGGTGACATAAATATTAATCTCAACATAAAGGATAATGAATCGAGCTATGACCGTAACAATAGGGCCTTTTATCTTAACATGTTATCCTCTCATGGCCTTTTACCTGGGCACATAATACCTACACGCGAAAATAGTTGCTTAGACCATTTCATTTTAAAGATGGATAAAACTAAGCGGTCTGCTACTATTGCAGTCTTAAACAGTAATGTAACCGATCATGCTATGGTCTTTATGAGTATCACCGAAGTGAAAAATAGCTTTTGCTCTCCAAAAATTCAAACCGTAACTGACTTGGAAAAAGCTGCAGAAAAGCTCATAAACAAAAACTTAGATTGTTTGTTATCTAGTGACGACCCTAACTTTGTTATCGAACATCTGACAAACAAACTTAAATCATCTCTGGATGAAAGCATCAAGATAAAAAGGATCTCAAGTAAAGAACGTACTATTAAGCCTTGGGTCACCAATGGCTTGTTACGGTGTATTAGAAACAGAGACCGAATGCAACTAAAAGTAAGATCTGAACCACATAATGAAATATTAAAAATTTCTTTCACTAGGTATCGTAACTACTGTAATAAATTAATTAAGAAACTAAAACGTAAATACCAATTTGAACTGCTACAAACTAATGTTAAAAACAATAAAGCACTGTGGAAATCTATTAAAGAAATAACATATCTTAATAAAAATAAAGCAAGTAGTTGGGAATTACTTGCTGCTCAAGGTACCCCCTCGGAGTCAGTAAATTATGTCAATAATTACTTTGCTAATGTTGGCAAACATCTTGCAGAGAGCATCCTCAGAGGATCGCCCCAGTCACATGATCACATAACATCTGCTCCAAAAACACAATTATCTTCTTTTGTCCTTCTAGAGACAGACCCCGTAGAAATTGATAGTATTATCTCGAGTTTGAAGACTAGTAGCGCTCCCGGCTGGGACGGCATCACGACTAAATTTATAAAAATGGTGAAGTGTCTTGTTGTCCCCATTATATGCCACCTTGCCAATCTTTGTTTCATAAAAGGTATATTTCCAACTTTACTCAAAAAATCTATCATTACACCTGTTTACAAGGGAGGTGATAAAATGAATGTTAGTAATTATAGGCCCATTTCCGTATTGTCAGTGGTTTCTAAGATTATTGAGAGACTAATTAACTCACGCTTAACTAATTACCTCGAAAAATTTAACATCTTATCTAAATCACAATTTGGATTCAGAAAATCTAAATCTACAGAGGACGCTATTTTAGGATTAACATCCATCATAACACAGCATTTAGATCGTGGTGAAAAGTGTCTTGCAGTCTTCTTAGATCTCAAAAAAGCTTTTGACACAGTTTCTGTTCCTACCCTTGTAAAAAAGATGGAAAATGTTGGTATTAGGGGTACTGCTTTAAAACTTCTGACTGATTACCTAAGAGACCGCTTCCAATGCGTTAGAATGGATAAATATACTAGCATTGATACTAAAACTGAGTTCGGCGTACCACAGGGCAGCGTTCTTGGCCCGACGCTGTTTCTGATATACCTGAATGAATTAACGAATCTCAAAGTTAACAGTGGCTGCGTGTTTTCTTATGCAGACGATACAGCCATTGTATTTCATGGTAATTCCTGGAACTCTGCATTTAATGTTGCCGAACACGGATTACATAGGGTCGCAAGCTGGCTTAATTCCTCTCTGCTAACCTTAAATATCGCAAAAACAAATTTTATGACATTTGCTATCAATAAGCGCACACTTCCTCCATCAAATTTATCATTGAAATTACACATCTGTGACTTCACTAATGTTAAACAATGTGGATGTGAAAATATTGAAAATGTAAAATCCACCAAATATCTTGGTGTAATAGTAGATCACCGACTATCCTGGCACGCTCAGATTGAGGCTGTAAATGATAAGATACGTAAACTTATTTGGATCTTTAAAAAGCTGAGACACGTGACCTCTAAAGAACTCATAAAGAGTATATATATAGCATTGGCTCAATCTGTTATGAGCTATTGTATCTCGATCTGGGGTGGTGCCTCCAAGATAAAATTCCTGGAAGCAGAAAGAGCCCAGAGATGCTTGCTAAAGACGATGTTTTTCAAACCATTTGGATTTTCTACTGACGAATTGTATCTGAATCATAAATTACTGACACTAAGAAAACTGTACATCATTAACTGTGTTCTTAAATTACATAAAAACCTACCTTATGTACAGATATTTGAGACCAGTAGGAGGAAACGCAGGGTGGCCCCTATGTATCCTTGTAGAACTCTTTTTGCTAGACGACAATTTCAGTCTCACTCCGCCTATCTTTATAATAAGCTACATGAAAAATTTGCAATATATCACCTCAAATTGAATGACTGTAAAAAGGTTCTAAACTTGCGCCTTGAGAAGCTTGGGTACCTGGATACAGAAAATTTGCTGTTTAAAAACAATAATTAATTAATTAAAATACATGACTTCCAGTGGTATTCATTACTTACTGATCCCAAGATCTCGCATCGTAGGGCTGGATAGCATAAAACATATGTATCGCATATATACGCATTTACAGCAAAAACGTACAAAAATTTGAAAAAGCTCCGGACGTTTGTAATAGCACACATACACACACACGCATACGCGCGCGCTCACACACACACACACACACACACACACACACACACACACACACACACACACACACATACACTTACAGATCTAGTGGTTATCCGATCCCAAGATATATGATATCGTAGGGCTAGATTGGTATAGATTGAGAGATTTTTTAGACACTGCATTGTTTTATATAACTTCTCACTTTTAGTATTTTCTAATATACCTTTATAAAATAGTTTAATAGTCTAGCAACCTAAGCAAACCTTATTTTGTTATTAAGTTCCTAAGGAGGAGCAGAACCACCCGACACAAGCGCTTTTTAGGCACTTCCTGGGTGATTCTGGCCACATTACTGTTATATGTATGCAATTTAAGGAAATAAACTATTTATTTATTTATTATTTATTATGATGATGATGATGACTATATTTTTTTCTCAAAGGGAATTTCTGGTCGTGGATTGACTGAAGCAGTATATCGTGTTCGAAACGATAGACCACAGTTTTCTCTGGATGCGTTATCTCCTGGAAAATATACATTGCTCGTATATTCAGAGACTCCTAGAGGGAGATCTCAGAGGCCAGCGGCATTGCACAGTGTGGCAATTAGAACAGCAGATAACATGGACGTCCCAGGTAAATTCAATGCAGCAAAATCATTAAATAATTTCTATTAAAAATAAAGTTTATTTTTACTAAACATAAAAATGCATGTTTGTTGTACACTTAACGCAACAGACATAATGTGGACCTTAAACATTTTCTTATTACTTATTAATCTATTACAGGATCTCTTCAAACTGTGACTCCTTCACCTCCTACGCCACCTTCGGTTGGTGACAACAGTGTTGCTTTACTTACTGGAGCTGCTTTATCCCTTGTTCTTCTCACGATCTTAACAACGTTGTGCGTCACATTGGTGGTTATGTGCAAAAAGAAACAGCCTAGACGTGATCCTGAACAAAAGTATATCTATCAATATATATTTTTTTATTTTAAGTATTAATGGATTCTTCAAAAAAGGTTGACTGGTGTGCTATAATGAACTATTATATTTTGGTTTTATGTCCAGTTTCTGAGATAAAAAAAATACAATACTGCGTTAAACATTGCTTCTAAGATCATGGATGTGATTGATAGATCTTAATACATCGAAAGCGAAATGCATTACATTGTATATCGTCAAGGTTTTACATACATTACATTTCTTCTAGCACTATCCTGCGCAGAAATGTTGGAGTGTCAATGTATGGTGGCTCATCGATGTCATCCAACGTAGTTCCTACAGTAGTTGTGCGAGGGCACAGAGGTTCCAGAGTACTTGCAGCGAGATGGTCAGGAGTTCTAGATGATGCACCATTGGCTGTATTAGCCTTGGATACAAGACCACATGGTAAGAATTTTTAGTACGCTTAATTGTTTCCAACAAGCCTAGCTTTTCGCTCATATAAAATCAAAAATAAGTTTTCGAATTCACAGATTTCGTATACTCTTTGTTCATAACATTTAAATTATAAATAATTTTAAGAAGTCTTAAAGTTTTTCGTTTTTCCAGAAACGGATTCCAATAACAGTGATGCCGAACAAGAGACTGAACTAAACAGGCATACGGGTGACACAGAAACACAGACAGGTCCTCACTGATATTATGGCAAATAAATGAGACAACCAAATAAAATACATTATACGGAAAATAAGTGTAATACATAATTATTGTTGTCTTTAATGATAGGTTAGTAATAACATAAGTCGTAGTTATTATATAAATGATAGATATAAAAAGTAGAATTGAAATTCTATCTTTATAGCACCCACGTGTCATGAAATTACTCTAATGACGAAAATGATTGTTTTGTTAATTACAGAAATTTCATTGATTTTATTAATCAGCTTTAAGTTCATGTAAACACTGTATTATGATTTAATTTGTGTTATTATTACCATTTCAAATGCTAATTTGGCATGACATTTTAATTATTGAATATAAGAAGGTAATGTCTGGAATTATTAAGATATTTAATATAGTACGAATGAATGCAGTATTATGTTTTGCGGTGATATTTAAAATATAATTATGTGTTTTGTTAGTTATCATTAAGTGTAAACAAAAAACCTAGTGATTTTTTTTCAATTGTAACATTTTAATAATATTTAAGACAAGAACTATCTTGATTGTAGTCTGATATTACTTTTAACCATTTTTGTTAATTAATGAGAATTAAAATGTAATGCACTTACCGTATATACACTAATTGTACATAGTAAAGAATACGGGTATTATTTAATAAAGTTCCATACGTATCTCACCGATATAGCGTACATTTTAATGTCTAGTGAGGATCACTAGTACACAAGATTGAATATATTACATTATTTCATTAATAGTACAACTTTGAAAATTTCGTTGTGTATTTTTTTTTCATTTGGATTTATTCATAGTATATTATACAGTAATATTCTTATGTATCCATGTGTGAGCACTGAAATGCATTAATCGTTATTTGCAATGTGTTAAAAATTAAATTGGAATCAAGGCGAGTAAATGATGAATCAAATTTGAATATGACAGTGTATTGGATGAAATTTCATCGATGTGGAAATATCGGTAAAGAGAGAATATATTCGAAATTATTGGTTGATTTTGTTTGCCTGTAATGCAATTAATTAAATAATTTTGAGTATTAAGTTACTCTGTCCATTTGTCATTTGCCAGAAAAAGATATGTAAGTATAATTGATACATTGCATGAAATATTTGTTTCAATGTAAATCTTGCTTTTTAGTTTACAAAACATAAAATAAGTTAATTTACATGTTATCCATTTTAAAACTCTATTTCTTAGTATAAATAAAACGAGCTGATCATCTATTAGACATGAAATTTTAATATATTTAATCTGTCATTAGTGAAGATTAAATAAACGCACATTCATTGTCAAAATAGTTCTTAGTTACAAAAGTTGCGTATATTTTATGATGAGTATATAATTTATTTGTGACAAATATGTATTTGTATGGTTACTTGAGAGTTTTTGTATTTGGAAAAAAATAAACGATGGTAAATAAAAATTATATTGTTATAAAGTTATATCCTATCGGATTATTTAGATTGTGTCTCAACCATAAGTGACATAAATAAATTTTGGGAATGAATAGAAATCAAAAATGCGAATAGGATATAGTTTTTTTATTTTTATTTTGAAGTGTGGACAGTAACATATAAAATTGAACAACATGTATCAATTTTATAAATGACATCGATTGGAGATGAACAGAATAGAAATGAAAAATGCAAATAGGATATAGTTTTATTTTATTTTATTGAGAAGTATGGACAGTAAAAGCATCTTATGAAAAACTATTTTGATGTTTACTGACTCCGAAATGAGTATGAATGTGAATGAAAACAACACGTGTCATCGAATAGAGATGATGAGCAATTTTAGTTTTTTTGCCCGTCAGGTAGATCATGAAGGAATATTTAACATGTATTTTTTATTAGTTTTTGCATAATCATTAAATTACGACAATACATTGAGTTAAAATGCCGTATGTCATCACGCTTATATGCTACGAAGCTGTGTCGTAGCGAGCCCGCACTTCTCAACTTTAATACTTATTATCTAAGCCATTTCTTGTGAAATTAAAGCAAAAGAATACGTACCTTATAGTTTTCTATTATAAAAACCGACGCACTAAATAGAATTTCTTTATTTTACCCCGTTTTGTGTTTGTCAAATTTGTATACATCTTTGAAAACTGTTGATGAGAATTTATGAATCAATCGAACTGAGGATAAATAGAAAATTATAAGAGAAATATATATACAACTGATACTGGTAACTCTTAATCTAATTGGATCGAATATATATTAAATGTATACGTTTTAGTATAGCATTATACCAAAAATGATTGCTAAAGAATAAATTATTTTATATTTCATATTGTTTTAATTATAACTACGTGTAACTCGCCGCTTCGTCCACGTGGTCCGAGGGTACCGTGTGCACGCTGGTCTGTTATACTTGGAGCATTAAGCTAATCTTATTTTATAATCTACCTTTATATCATCATCATTAGCTTATCAGCGTTCAACCAAATAAGAAAAATCTACCGGTGTTATAAAATAGTACCAGCTGGTCTTCTTTCTATTTTAGTGCGCAGTAGAAACGACATGTCGTGTAAAAATGAAAAGAAATATTTTCTTTTAAATAATAGTATTTTTATTGATTTTTTTTAACAATGACGCCGTCTTTTTGCGAGCTTATATTGGACTTTCAGGCTATAGGCTATAGGCTTTCCTTTTTAGAGTTAAGAGTTTAAAGCAGCCTCATGCTCTGCTTGCGCCAGATTCTTCTTGTGATGCTCATAGCAATTTGATGGTCAACTTGTTCTTTCTCAGACCAGCATTTTCAGTGGGTGTACGTAAAATATTGCCAACGAATATTCTACCTAATAATTAACTAATTAAAGAGATGATCTCGAATTTGTATGTATCGAACGATCTAAGTTTCGTCCACTCAGAATGTTTTTCGCCCAATGTTTTATCTAAATTTGAATACTTTGAATTTTGGTTGCTATCTATACTAATAATAAAGATAACGAGTTTGTTTGTTTGGTTGAACTCTATAATCTCAGGAACTACTGGAAAAGCTGCAATTACACTATGATATAGGAGTGGAGCAACGATGAAAAATATTGCAAAACAGCACAGCGTAAACGTTACGCGAAAATCATGTTTTACCAAATAGATCGCCTTTAAAAGTTCTAGAAAAAATCTGCAGCAGCATATGTATATCTTATGCCGAAAAAAGTACATAAAAGTCGTTATCATAGAAACCATTCATTACAATTCAATTTTTATTTTTCTTATATTCCATATCATCCTTTTCAAAATCCATTATTAAATGATTTAAGCTCTTTACGCAGGATTAAATAATGTTTTGAATAATTTTAATCGGTACAATCTCTGTCGCTAATATTAAATGCATATGTTATATTGAACACTAGATGACACTTGTATTTTTAAAACGGAATTTTGATTTTTGTTATGTTTGTTGTCTTAATTTTTTATTAAAGTAGCTAGTCCGTCGGTCTGTGGTTCAGCTCAAAAACGATTTGCTGATGGACTAGCTGAATACACATAAAAATTATTCAATTAGTTCCAGTAGTTCCTGAGATTATAGAGTTCAATCAAACAAACAAACTCTTTAGCTTTATTATAAGTATAGATCGGTAAAAAAGGTTTCATTGCTGTGGTAGCTACCAAAAGATAAAATGATAAAGGGGGAAAGCTGGAACCGTTTTGGTACAGATTTAGTTGCCTATGTAATTGTGTTGTTTCTGTATTTTATCTTTTTTTTTGTACCAAATAAATGGATTTATTATTATTATTATATACTTTGCATGAAAATCAAACTCAGTATCTAAATCCCCTAAACATTGAAAACAACCAAGATATAACTCCCATGATAAAATATTATATCATTACCGGCCTATTGATTTGTCCACTACTGGGACTCAAGTCTTTCCTGTGGAAGGTATCGGATCATATCGAATAGGGAGAACGGGCTACCACCACGCGGGCTTATTGCAGATTGGTAGGTCTTAACGACTGCAAGGGGGGTAGGATCGCGTATTAACGCATCCCACCTCTCTGTGGATCGACGAGACAGGGCTGACACTCCACCCCGTACCCCGGCGAGATTAGCTCGTAGGGACGGTCCACCGTCTGGGGAAAGGCTGTTATTCACGTCTTTTCCTTCCCGCAGAGGGCGATTTCTCACTCCGCCTGAGAGAAATCCCAGCGCGAATTGAGTTCGGGCCTTCCTTTCTGAATACCGGACTCATCCATTCGCGTGAGGTGAACCGCAGCGGGTTTTACCAGGTAGGGCTTCCACATTAACCTGCCTTTTTAAGAGCGGGGTGAATGTGGAAGTAAAAAAAAGGGACTTAACGACTGCAAATGTAGCCAGCATCAATGGCTTAACGTGTCTTCCGAAGCACGGATGAGCACGAGATAATCAATTTTTGACCACCCAACCTGCACTTGCGGAGGTTGCTTAACAATTGTATTGCAGATCAAGCGTGCAAACCACTACGCCATATAACCTCTTAAGATTTATACTATATTATACTTTATTATATCACAAATTAAATATAACATACATTTTCACAAAATTCAATAGCTGCATGAAGAGAAAAAAATTCTTGGTTATATACGGAGGAAGGTATCGTTAGTGTATAATTTGAACTCACTCACATTAACGCCTGAAGCAATCGAATACATATTTCCTGCTAAAACACGCTTAGAATATTGTATCGAATATAAAAAAGGTTTTAATTGGAAAAGTGTGGAGAATTATAGTGTAAAATGAAACATTGTTCGATGGAAAACTGAAAAGATGCTACATCTATGAAAATAAAAATAACAGATAAACCCGTTATAAAAGTAATGATTGCAGTAGTAGTATGTACTTGCCAAAGTTATTAGCTTGAATTAGTTATGTTGTGGGAACTAAGTCTAATTCGCATTAAATTATTAAAATCGCAATCTTCCCAACAAACCCTTTCTTTCGACACCCATACTATGAGTGTAGGTACTGAAAGATAACCAACTAATCATCATCTTGGATAGACCGAATA